GGGGGGGGGGGGGGGGAGACATAAACAAAACATCTACTTTATTTAGGCCACTGCTATTTTGAGTTGCTCTATTTGTGACAGTTACAGTACTCTTATTAATGAAAGTCATGAGGATCTGTCTATTCCACAGCCCATGGATCCTCAAGCTCTAACCTCTTTGGGACTTCGTTATCATCTCTTTAAACATCTAGGCTCCACATCCTCAAATATTCTAGATCCTCAAACTGGCTATGAAGTTCCACAGGATTCCATCGAAGGATAACACCCAGTCTACTATATCCACAGGCTCCATCCACTCTGGGCCACCAAGACTTGAACACTAATTAGGGCTTTTGGCCTCAATATTTCCCCAGTACCCTCCACCTCCAGGTTACAAATCTTATAAGGGAGGACCCTGTCATTTTAGAATTAAAAAACTGCCTTTTGAGTGTGGCCTTATTCACATGCCATTTCAAACTATCCCCCCCACCAAAAGTGTCATTTAAAAGTTTAGCCAAGTCAACACATGAAGTCAATGTCACCAACATATGAAATAGAGGGAAAATCCTAATTCTGGTATTCAGGGAACCTAGGATCCAGTCCCTACAGTGTCACTGAGTAGTTATGTGGCCTCAGTTTCTCTATTAGTAAAATGTGGCTACAGAGTCTTGCCTCTTACCTATCTAGGATCAAAGAAGCTCACGGAGGTACAAAGAGCTTTGCAAGATTAAGGGGACTACAAATGAGAATACGCTGTTCATATTTTTTTAAACTACAAAAGTACACTGTTATCAAATAGTTTTGGAGTAGCTTTTGTGAAAAAACATCATTACAGCTGCAAGATACAATAAATAAAAGAACACATTTCTAATGCTTTGTGTCTTAATAAATGACTGCTATCTGCCTAAGAATCTGACCGAAGTCATTCTCTAAAGTGTTTGGGATTTCATTACTGTCTCTTTAAATCTCCACGCTCAAAAGTTTCCCGGTGGCGCACTGGATAAGTGCGCTGCTTGGGAAGCGCTGTGGCGCTCCCGCCCGAGGGTTCGGGTTCGGATCCCACATACAGACCGGTTCCTGCTCACTGGCTGAGCGAGGCGCGGGAGCAACGCCGAGGGTTGCGATCCCGTTGCCGACCGGTACGGGGGCAACACTGAGGGTTGCATTCCGTTGCCGGACACGGAAAAAGACAAAAAAAAAAAAAGTTTCGATGATATAGCTTATTGTGTTATTAAGACGCTGCCTTGGAAGTGAGTCCAAGATGGAGGTGGGGCTGGAACGCTGGAGTGAGAGCTACGGCCTCATTTTGCATCAAGGCATTTCAGTATGTGTGACAATACAACTATGGAGAAATGACGAGGTCTTGAATCTTTACTCTTCTCCTTCTGCCTAATCCACTTCAGTCTGGCAAGGTTGCTGAGTTGGCCGCCAAAGAGGAGCCATAAAGACACATTAAACTAGTGCTGATAGCCAGCGAGGTGAGAGAAACCAGTCTTACCTATGTACTATTTGTTTGTGTCACTGACCCATATTATTTAAAATATGTTATTGACAAGAACATTTTGAAATTCAGGTTTCCAGCTGCCACATTATCAATAAAATCCTTTGTTTCTGACTATTCCACAGTAACAAAATATAAAAAACAAGGCAACCAGAAAAATAAAACAAAAAGAAAATGTAGGCAATTATATACCCTTTTCAGGGGATCAATGTAAATTTTAGTGTAAAAGAGCTGATCATCATCATTATCCTGGAGATTCCACTGTTGAACTATACGGTTGATATATGGAGCATAGCCGATAAATCCTGCAACACAACAGAGAGAAAGTAGAGAATTTAGGATTAAAAGCCCAAATCTCATGTCTATGTTAATGGCACTGAGCTGCACAGAGCTGTGAAGCCATTATGTTGGAATTTCACAGTTCATCATGAAAGAGACATGAATTATTGAGTACTCTGTTTTAATATAAACTACAACAATGTGAGTATTGCTACCAAATGCAAAACAGAAAATAATCGAGGATTCTTTTTAAATAAGCACATTCCCAAAATTAATTGACAAGAGAGAACTCATGTTTTCCAAGGCTCCTATGGGAAAAAGAGTTACTTGGAAAAGAATAGGGTAAGACTGAAGAGATTTCTCTCTGGCCTTCTAAAATGCTCTTCTTGGATCCTCTGCAGAGGATTCACTGTTTCTGAGAGAAAATCTCTACTACTGTGACTTTACTGGGAGTGCCAGAGATGTTAATGCAATCAAAGGAATGTTGAATTTTTCACTGACTACAAACATCCCGAAGAAATTTTAAATCTAGGATATTCTGGGAATTTTTCCATTACTTAAGCCAGTCATTATTGTGCCTGCTAAACCATTCTCTGGTTAGGTTTTGTGTGTCATAGTCTGAAAATGAAAGTCTAAAATTGGATTGCCCCTCTTGGCCTTAGAGCATAAGCACTAAATCCACTAATAACATCTGTGTATAAAAGACACAAATAGGATCATTTTTCCTGTTTGAGTCTTCCTCTGAATTTTGGAAATGCAGCCAACCTGCTACGTTTCATTGACACACAATACTTTTTAAAAGGTATTCAATGTTACTCCTATGAATTTAAAGAAAAGCTAATTTTTAATCCTCAAAATTAAAATTTCCTCACAGGAATAAAAGAATTAAAAGAAATAGGTCCAGGAATACTACTGCTACCTGGAGAAAACAAGACAAAATGAAAACATGACAAAAACCAATGACTGGTTTCTTGTTTTTTGTTATTCTTGCCAAATAAAAAAATCCTACAACATTAAAAGGTAATATATTGTTTAATTCCTATGACCAATCTTCTTTGAGGAAAAATATACCAAGTAGTGACACATAACATTTTCCATTGGTTTTTTATCTTTTTTTAAGTTTAAAATGTTCTCAAATGAGTGAAAAGGGATTATACCTATCTTCACAGTATATAATAAATGTTTGAAATAATTTATATTTTTCTATTAAAAAGTATTTTAAAAAAATAAATGATACACTCACAAGCATGATTCATGTCCCTTAAATAACTCTCAATATATCATCCATGTAATTACAAAAACTCTTATTAAATGTATTTATACTTTCTACCATCTCTCTAATTACTTTGACTACAGAAAGAACAAGGATGATGCTTTGATGTCTTTAAATGATCACTTTCCCACTTCTAAATACCTTTTCCTTAATTAAACTTATAATGGTTTACAATGGCACTTATACCTGTTAATTTTTTGCTGTTTCCACAGCCCTGTGAGTCTCTGAAATTTAGCCAGCCCAGTAGATGCATGAGTACTTCAAAAACCTCGTGGAAAAATTGAGTTTTTTCCATGAACTTTTTGAAGACCCCTCATATATCACTGTCCAAATGAACTTACATAAGAGATTTCACTATGCAAGTTATCTTTGGAAAAATGTTAATAAGTATAAAATAAAACCTATCCTAGAGTTCCACAGCTAAAATACTTCCTTTAAAAGATTGGTTTTTGAACTACGGAGGACTTAGGATAAATCAAAAGATTAACCATCTGTAACTGAGGGCTTGCCAGTTTGGAAGCCACAGTGTGGAAGCAGCACCAATCATGTAGCTTTTATAAAAAAGCATTATTTAATTTTATCTGTTTTTGAACAGGTGCTCAAGTAGAGCGGTGAGAGCGGCAGCCGTCTGAGGGGAGGCTGTGACAGTTCACAAACTGGAAATTCAAGAGGGAAAGATTACTAAGGCAAGGAAAGACAGAGTGAGCAAATACGAAAAACCCTAGGCTCTGACTCGTATACATAAGTAAAACCCAAAGGTGGTGGATAGATTCTGAAAAAATAAAACGGTCAAAAGATCCCAAAAAGCAAGAACTGTAAATGCATTGACATGGAGAAGAAAAGGGAGCTGAAACTAGCCAGTGCAAAATAGAATTTAAGGTTTCAGAAGTTCAGCGTCTGTATGAGCTGACAGAGTTCTAAGGTACAACCATGGGAATTGATTGCTAAATAAAACACTGGTGAAAAGAGCTAGAATTGAGACATCGTAGAGAAATTAAACTACTTGCTAAAGATTTCACTGCTGTAAATGGCTGAGAAAGCCTAGAACTCAGATATGATGCTACCTCAAGCAGCTCTATTTTAACTGGCCTGAACAGTATCAGTTGTATATACATGTAAAACACCCTAAAAATCCATTTTTCTCATGTAACTTACAATTTGTACCCAACATGTTTCTCTAGCATATCTCCTAACCTATTTGATTAAGTCTTCTGGTCATATGTTTACATTAATCTCAGTTTAAGGAGTCATAATAATGTCTAAAGTCAAATTTTATTTCATTTTTTAAAAGGGGAGAAAAGTGTGAAAATTTGTTCCTTTAAGCCATGGTGGCATAGATAATACAAAACTTTAAGTGTACCCAGACACTCAAATCTTTTTTACTACTGATTTCAAGACAAATCACTTATTTACTATGATATATTTCAAAAACAGTTAAATTAAATAACGCTTATTTATAAAAGCTACATGATTGTAGATTGAGAATAAACTTTTTCCCAACTAAGAAAACTTACTATAACCAGAAAATTCTCAATGAAACTACAATCAGATGACCTGGATTCATGTTGTTTTTCCATTAGCAACTGAATGTATTATAATGTGGAAATAATAAAATGTACACTGCCTAGTGTGTTGGAAGCATCAAACGACATAATACATGAAAAAATATAAAACACACTGTGGGTTTTATACTAATAGTCCTTTTCCACAGTAAATATAAGATAATAGTTATTTTTCAGAAATACCGCAGGTTCTCACTCATAACTGGCTGCTAGGAAGGAAGGAAGGGAGGGAGGGAGGCAAAGAGGGAAAAAGGAAGGAACGAAGGAAAGAAAGAAAGAAAGAAACATGTTGAACTTTCAGAAGGAGAGAACAAACCTAAGGTTACTAGAGTTGGGGGGGCGAGGGAGGGGGGTTGGGAAGTGATAGGTTGGGGAAAGGGAGGAAAGAAGTATCACAACTTGTAAGAATGAATATGCTAATAATAAATAAAATATTTTAGAAAAGATAATAGTTATTTTAAACTTCATGTATATAGTTACTACATATAAAAAAAAAGTTGCTTCAACAATATCTATAATTTACTATGACTTGTATTGAACTCTTCTGCCAGTATCTACCCACCTCCTGAGTTCAGGTAGCGTTTCCCAATGTGCACAATGGGATACTTGTCTGCTAGTTTTTTATCTGGCCACAGAATTCCATCTGCTGCAAAGACCACTTTGTGGTTTGTCTTTTGGAACTTTTTTAGAACTTCTTCTGGACCCCCAGCAAATATGACGTCAAAGCTGTTTAAGGAGGGAAAAAAACTTTTGAAATATACTCTTCAGAATTTAGAAACAATAGACCAAGAAGAGGTCTCTAATAAAAGTCAGAATTTAGAATTCAACACAAGATTAATACCAACTGTTTACAGAGTACATCAATTTTCCATCAATTTAAATTATAAGGATTGCATTGAATTATTAGTGTTTACATTACATTAGTAAATGAAGTCCAAATAAAAGACAGACTTTTTAGTGCTCATCTTAATATTTTTTTCAATAATCACTTATCCCCAAAATCAAAATTCTGAAACAGTATTAAAATGCTAAAAATTCATTTACTTACTGCATAACTTAATACAGATATAATCATTTACAGAAGTTGCATAATATTTCAATTCAATTTTTACTAATCCATTATAGTTTCTGATGAATTCATTGTCTTTGATAAACATGCTTAACTACTAAATGTTCATCAATATACATTTAAATCTGATTCACTATTTACCCTGAAATTTTAAAATAAATGTTCAGATGAATGTATCTTTTAAAGTTCAATAATTTTTATTAAAAATTACACATAACTTGACACTATGATTTAATGTCTACAGTTTCACTGGTTTTTCCGAAGGTTTATTCTTCATAGTTCATTCATGGAATCACCATGACTTAATAAAATATGAAGTGAAAATTCACTAAAATGTTTCCATAGCCTGGACTGGGACACCCAAGTTCTAGTTCCTTCAGTTCCTCATCAGCTTTATGGTTTGAGGCAACCTGCAAGCCTCAGCTTCTTCCTCTGTATATTGGAAGGTTGGGATCCATTCCTGTAAAAGCCTTTCCAAATTTAAAAAAAAAAAAAAATCACTTAAATATATGCAGTATATATGTCTGATAGGAATGTCTTTGTTTCCCTGCGGGCCTTGGGTGGGACTGCACATGCTTAACAATTCAATACAGGGTGGGGACTGGCCACACCCATATACTCTTAGGGTGGTGATGGGCCATTTCAGAAAGACCAACAATGTGACTTAGTATAGGGACATTATGCCACAAGATATCACTTGACCTAGAGGCTGAGTACTATGTGAGCAATCAATCAATCCATCAATTAATCAATCAATGATGCCTGCAAAATGAAGACCCAATAAAAACTCTGAACACAGAGGTTCAAGCGAGCTTCTCTGGCTGGCATTACTCCACGCATATTGTTACACATTGATACAAGGAAAGTAATGTCTTAACTTCAGATGGAGAGAACAATGGAAGTTTCACATTTGATACTTTTCTGGACCTTGCCCCATCATTTATTCTCTTAGCTGATTTTAACTTGTATCCTGTCCTTGTAATAAACTGAAACTGTAAGTACAATAGCTTTCAGTAAGTTTGTGAGTCCTTCTGGCAAATGATCAAACACGATGGTGGTATGGGGAAACCTCCTCAAACTTGCAGTTAGTGTCAAAAGTGAGGATGGTCTGGGGCACTGTGCCTTCTAACTTGTAAATGATGTCCCTTCACTCTTCACAGTACCCTGCTAAAAGTTCAGACATGTACTCTGCTTAGTGTAATGTTAATATTTAGAAAAAGTTGGCAGGTAGTCTATTTCTCTCTTAATATGATGATTTAAGTAAGTTGCTCAGTCTAAATGACAATGTTATTATGAGACTTGAACAAGATGACTGTAAAAGCTCTTTGGAAACAGTAACTTCTTTTCAATTATAAGATATTAAGAGCTATTGTTACTATTATTTTGGAGTTTAAACACTTCAAAACTATATTTACTCTCCCAATTTTATTGTATTTGTCACGACCAGTAGACTCATCTTTTCTCCATTGGCAGGTGCTGGAATTATGTCAGCTAGAACTTTCATTAGCAAATAATTTCAGTCAGTGAAGGTAATGGCAAAACAAATGCAGCATTTTGACGTAGCTGTATCTATTCTGGCACAGTGCGGTTTTGAGGCTAATGTCTTTTCAAACAGCTCTGTTTTGCCTGCAGACTTGAATACCCTCATTATAGTGTTTGAAAAAAAAGTTCCCTTATGTTTTTTTAAAGAGCGCCATTCTTCAAAAAGATGTCAAGAAGCTCTTCTCTTCCCCCTTGCTACAAGGTGTAATGTAGAGATAAGCACAAAATCTGGTGGAAATGTGACCTATATTGGACTGGCAAAGCTTAATATCAAGCAAACAGCTAGTTTGGGAGCTGGTTTTGTCCTACCTTGCTGCTGATATCTGTAGAAATGTACCACATATTATTCGCAGACAGTGAGAGCAGTTTGAAAGTCAATTACAGTTTTAAAAAATTGGAATCATTTGCTCATAGGGTTCATCAGAGTTTTGAACAAGTCCCTGGCCTGCCGCATGACAGCCAAAGCCAGGTCTTTTGGAAAACATTTTATTTTCATGCTCAGAGTAATAAGAAGAGAAAAGTCGTGTTTTGCAGATGAAATGGTGCTGATAATAAAAAAGTAGGTCACACTTTCTCTTTCTGTCTCCATCTCTCTTTACTTTCTCTGAAAGACAAAGGAGGGTTTCAGAGACATGAATCAAGCAGGTCAAAAGCCTGACCTGGGTGTTCTTTGCACTGTAAGTAAAATTAGGAGAATTTTCACTTGGGGCTGACATTTAACAAGGGCAGGGAACATGGAAACAGTAACCACTTTCTGGGGGTATCTGTGACTGATGAGGAGGGATGGGGTGGGAATGCAGACAGCAGATCCTCCAGGCATTTCAGGTCAGAGAAAAGCACAGTTCCAAAGAACTGCTGGTGGCTGTGACCTTAGGACTTATGACAGCAAGACAGAAAAGGGGCAAAAGGAAGCTTCACATCCACACCCATGGGAGATGACATTATTGTGCATCATTATTTCTCCTCCCCTCCATGGGAAGATTACACATCCCTACCGAGGAGTGACCAAGTCAATTCCTTTGGCCAGTGATATAGGTTTGAAAGGACAGGTGTCACTTCCAGGAAGAAGCTTCAAGAACTTGTCCTGTCTCTCTCGACTGTGAAAGGAGTCCTAGAGACAGACTGTGCCATCAACCTGGATGCTGGAGTGGAGAAGACAAGAGCAGAGCCAGGTCGCAATGGACTTGTAGTGTGGACAAAAACTCACTTTGTTCCTGCAAGCCATGGGGGTGGTGGGGCTGCTTGTTACTGCAGCATACTTAGCCTACTCTGACCGATACAGTGCCCCTCAGTTCTTCCTTTCCAAAAGCATGAGAAAAATGAAAGCTGTAAGTTAGCTCATGTACATTTTGGGCAATCTGTATTTCTAGATCATTTTGTAGCCCAGAAGTGGACATTAATATTTTCATAATCAACTGTACAGACTGAATTGCAGACACATTGGCACATACTGTATCTCTAGGATCCCCACAAAAGAAAATAAAGTTGCTTCAGAGTAATGGTGGCTGTTAGAAGGTAGTGATGGCTTTTAAAGAAATGATCTCCCAGCGGTGATCCTGTGCTACATAGTGGAGCAAGATACACAATGGCAAAGATTCTGGAGTCTACTGCCTGGGTGCAAGTTCTAGAATCTACCACTTGCTCTTTGCTTGATCCTGGGTGAGTTACCTAACTTCTCTGAGCCTCTGTTTACTATTCTGTAAAAGTGGGCTAATAGGGGGCCGTCTGTCACATGGAAGTACTGAGGGATAGTGAAGGATACAGATGTATACAGTATATTTCAAATATTAATAAAAGTCAATAGCTTAAAAAGGAGTTGTGGTAACTCTTACTTTCATAATTTAGTATTTTATAATCATGTATTATGACCCTTAAAACAAAACACAGTTATTTAAAACAGAGAGTGAAAGCAAAAATTATCTTCACATAATTCAAGAATTTGACTTTGAATAACAATTTAAGGTTGCTGAAACATTTCATTCTAGTAGCATTGTTATTTCTGTATTTAAATACATTAGAAAAGTTCTCTCAACCTACTTAAAACTTCTCAAAGGGCAAGAAAGTTTTTCTATTTAAAATTATTTTGGCCACAAAAACTTAAATAGTCAAATTTTTAAAAAATGCACAAAGGTCATGAAAATAATTCTCATAGAAACTCAGTCCATTTAGATATGAAGAATGAAATAAAACTTTCCACATTTAACTGTGGTAAATATTCCTGAGTTCTGCAAAAATCATACGATCCTACCTTATGTAGGATACTGAGTCCTCCACCAGACAGGTCAGAGTTCTATCCCCAATAAGTCATTGAGAGCTTAACAAGTATTCATCCTTCTGTGATCCCTGTTTCTGTGGCACCGTCATCAATCTCATAGTTACCCAGGTCGAAAATCTTTCATTCAGCCTTGATTCCTACCTTTCCATGGCCTCTCTCATCAAATCTTTTGCCAAATTCTATTGATTCCATTTATCTAATCTAGCATTCAAATCCTACTCCTTTCCCACTAGAAGGCACTTACCTAAATTAATTCAAAAACTCTACAGGCCTCCACATTATCCATATCCTCCCCACTACTAATTAGGACTATGTGACAAACTGCCCTGAAAACCACTCTATGCCGGTCCCCAGACTGGATTGGTGGTTCCCAACTACAGCCTAAAGCAGGAATCAGTAAATATTTAGTCCCTAGCCTTTTAAAGAAAATATTTTAGGCGTTGAGGACCATATGGTTTCTGTTCCAATGATTCAACTCTGCAAAAACAGCCATAGCCAATATGTAAACAAACGATCAGAGCTGTGTTTGAATAAAACTTTTTACAAAAACAGGCAGTGGGGTGGGCCATAGTTTACCAACCCCTGGCCTATAGAATAAGCTAAACAAATCAGCCTCACTTTAATAGCCTTCTATTAAATAACCTGTTTTGAAGCCAAACTGAATTATTTGATCTGTCATCCATGTCTTTACTCATAATGTCACCTCTGCTTAGCACATTTTTTCCCAATTGGGTCCAGACTATTCACCTACAAGGCCCATTTCAAATGTCACCTCCTCTACTACCTACTCTACAAACCTCTCCTTGAGCAGCATAACTAGAAAAGATTGTTCTGTCCTCT